CACTTGCAGTTCTATAGGGCTGGTTGTTCGGTCTCCTGCCTCATCTGGAGTGTTCTGTTTACAAGCTATAGTTGGATACTGGCCACTTTTTGATGTTTGTGTGTGTGTCCTGGTGTATGCTAAAGAAATCAAAAATCCTCAACTCCTTAACTTCTGGAAGACATTAGATGGAAGTAACAATCCCATCAACCTTCTAGCATTACTGAACTTCACTTATGTGTGCACCCAATGGGAAATTCCAGGTTCTGTTAATTTATTTAAAATAACATTTTTTATGGGTTTAGTGTGGATAACTTCTGTAAAAAACTGAGCCAAAGCTTTTTTTATTACGCTTGAACGTATTTACCCATGTCTCTTTTGTTCAGGAACTCTATTTTAGGGCGCATTTAAGACCTGGATAGATTAAGGTTTGCCATCACTTGCTCTTCTCAACTTCCAAAAACACATGGAAGAGCAGGAGGGGGTAATAGGCTGAGGACTGGACAAGCCTTGGCAATCCATTTGCAACATCCTGGATCCTGATGTGTTGATGTGCTTGGAGAATTTCATCTTTTTCTTGCAGATAATCCATACAGCGAAAAAGTCATGGTAGGTGCACCAGGTGCAACTGCTTATTGGTAGCGCATCAATCAAAAGGTGTTAAGGCTCTAAATTTTAGAAGGATGCTAATCAGGAGGAAAAATGTAAGTGAAATTTACTATTAATTACTTGACTATTTTCTGAATTACTAGAGATAAAAGAGCTAGTAAGATGAAGAAATCTATTCAGTTATTCTTGCTTTAGTTACATATTCTAATATCACTTTAGAGAGTAATTACTTGTATGGAATTCAGCTTGGTTGTCTAATTATTTGCCTGTTGACTTTCGAAGTGTAAATTGTGAACTGGTGACAAGTTCTTAAAATATTACTTATTTGCCACATGTATCTTTTAGCTTAATACACTGCCTAGACACCCTTATTTTGGGGCAGTCATCATTGAGAAAAGTTCATCCTAATCTGCTATATAAACTGTTGTTAGAATATTCTCTAAAGCTGATAAGAGGATGTTCTGTTCAACACCTGTTCCCCAAAGTCTTGTTTCAGAGACAAGTTACAGGACTTAATTTGATTGAAAAACATAATTTTTATGTTGAATACTTCATTTATCTGAGGGGTTATTTGTGACTTAGTTCAGTAATGTTTTCATGATCTCTGGTGACATAGGAGCTAATCACTGGGAATAAGAACTTTTTATAAGTAATACTGTGTTCAGTAAAGATTTAAAGCCTCAGCTGTATAGTTTTCTCTGGATGTGCACAGATTCTTTTTTCTTGTTTGTTCATATCTAGACCTGGGGCTAGATCCTAAACTTTTTACATCTGACATTGCTTTAGTACATCTTGGAAAGTTGTTCTACTGTGTCTGGCCACCTGGAACAGACCAGGAGGTGTTATTTTCCTTGTGGAGGGAAGGTACCTGTGACAACAAGGTAGATAAGAGAGGGTTGGAAACCATCAGAGGGAGATGCTCAAGGTTAATAAGGGGTTAAAGAGGATAAGTTTATTAAAAGCTGTAAACTAGAGTACACAGGGAGCCCTGGGAGCTGTATGGAGGGCTCACTGATGGGAGGTTGCTGGAGGCATGGGTTGGATGCACAGGTCAGATGCTCAGTCAGGACTCTACTTCTTTCTAAGATGTTGTTGGGAATTTGATCAGTGTATAGTTTCACATGCTGGAGTTGCTATCGTGTACTCTGCCAGTCGCTGACTCCTCACCACATCATCTTATGAGCTCCTTGTAATGTTAACTTCAGTGTATGTACTTCAAGAAATCATACTTTCTTGTAGCTTTTCTCTCTTTCTATAACAGAGTACCCCGAGTACTGATTGGTTTTTTTTCAACTCTTGTTCTTTTAAATCTTCATAAAGCAACAATGTTGGGTGTTTAGATATACAAATAAGTTACTGTTAAGTCATGTAGTGTAAGAGTTTGAGCATGTCAGTTATTTTCTGGTAATTATAGAATCATAGAATCATTATGGTTGAAAAAGGCCTTTGAGATTGAGTCCAACCATAAACCCATCAGCACCCTGCCTCCTAAACCATGTTCCTCATCTACACGTTTCTTGAACACTGCCAGGGACGGTGACTCCACCACTTCCCTGGGCAGCCTGTTC